GTCCAAAAGGATACATAATCAATCTGTTATTCAACCTAGGAAAAGAGTGAAAATGGAGGGAGGGAAGAAGACACTAAAAAGACATTTAATCTACCCTATAGACTCCCATGTCATTGGGACTTCTTATGACGAGCATGCAATACTTTTTGTAACTTTTTTAATTACCTAAATTGGTCCATGATGCTAATAAAGACTATTATCTGAATATCCTTAAAACACCCTGTGAAAGTTGCAAAATTCAGTCAAGAATCCACATATTTTTCCTTACGTCAAAAGCCTGAAGTCTTGCAGACCAAACATCTGGTGATCTTTTACAGGATTTTTCTTTACTTTTTCTCTGAATGTCTCAGCATTCATGTCTATTAAGCCAAATGGTCACAAGCCTATAAACCATGTGAAAGTTCTTTCTTCTCCCAAGCACTGCCCCTAGGGCTTAACCCAACCCTGGATGCGAAGCCTGGTCCCATTAGAAGCTCCATTGAGAGGAAAGTGTCCTTAAACATAATGGAACATATTCTGAGCTAAATGCCAAAGAGTAGATGGGTCAGGGAGAGGAGAGTTTTACAAAAACACTGCAAGCCAAAGGAAAGAGAGACGTACTTGGGCGTACAGCTCCAGTCAGCAAGCCGGAAGAGACTGCCTGGAGGCAGACAGAATGGTAGATCATTCTTTCAAAGTGAAGGTTCTAGCTCTGCAGAGACACGCAGACGTGGACAGAGGAGCAGAAGAGCTGAGTTGGGATACACTCTCTGAAAGATTATGTGCCCACGACGAACAGGCCCCATTCCCACGAAGAGCCTCAGAGCATTTCACAAACATTCTTGTCACGAGTGGGGAGGGCACTCAGCTTCTTGCCCACCTGTGGCTCTGTTACCTGCAAACTGGGTTCGTCTCTTGCTGGGTGTCGAGCCAAGACACAACCAAGCCAAAGCCCAGGAGAAGGAAGGTTATTACTCACAGCAAGCAAGGAGAATACTGGGGATCTTTTCTAAAGGAGTATCTCCCCAAACAGCAAAACTGGGGAAGTTTTAAGCTAAGAATATGCATACTCATGAAGGGGTTTGAGCAGAGGAGAATTCAGCACAGCATTAGGGCAAAGGTCAACAGAGTCCAAGCTTCAGTTGATTGAAGTCAGGAGGGTCAACATCATCCCTCCATCCTCCACCTGAACAGGGGCCTTAGTTCTAGCAGAACTCAATGATATATTATTATGTGTAGCCCTTGAGGAGGACTCTGCTGTAGCATGCACTATTGACCAACTGCCTTTTCTCCGTTCCTGCATTCCTTTGTTCCCTTAGGATCATTAATTACTGAGACCTGCTCAAGGGCAAGCATTGAGGCCAGGCTAGACCACTAATGGCTTAGACCAAAAGGGGTTCTCTTATGTCAAGAAAGCCAATCCTGGTTCTCTTCCTCCAGGGACACCCTAACCTATCTGCTTACAGCTTCTCTGGCAGGGATTGGATGGCTTGCATCTGGACTCTGGCAAAAACACCTGTGTCCAGGTGAGGATGTCACATAGCCAGTACCAGGATGCCATTCCCAGAGCACGTGTCTTGCTGCCTCTGCTGAAGGAAAAATCCCCCCGTGCTTTTGAGGGAGGCAGCGGTGCCCTGGTCACATTTGCCCTTATTTTACACTTCAGTTCACTCAACTCACATGTATGGGGTACTTAATTAATGCCAGACACTAAGCTTTGCTCTGGAAATACAAAAATGAGTGGTATGACCCTCTCCCCAAGAATCTCACAGTCTGCTGGGTAAATATTTATAATACGATGGATGTTTGTGAAAGGTACTGTGACAACACAAAGTCAACAGAGATCAACCGCTGGGGAAGGGAAAAGACGGGCCCAATGTCACGGAAGGTGAGCTCTGAGCTGTGCTTTAAAAATGAGTAGGAACTCAAGGGAATGAGGAGATTAGCCAAAGCCTTGGAGAAAATATTTGCAGAAGACCTATCTGATAAAGGACTTATCTAAAATATACAAAGAATTCTTAAAACTCAACAATAAGAAAACAACAACCTGATTAAAAAATTGGCAAAACATCTGATTGGACACCTCCTCAAAGAAGATACACAGATGGTAAATAAGCATATGAAAAGACACTCCACATCATATGTCACTGGGGAAATGCAAGTTAAAACAGCAACGAGATACCACTACACACCTGTTAGAATGGTGCAAATCAAAAACAGTGATAACACCAAATGCTGGAGAGGATGTGGAGCAAAAAGAAGTCTCCTTCATTGCTGGTGGGAATGCAAAATGGTACAGCCACTTTGGATGACAGTTTGGCAGTTCCTTGTAAAACTAAACATATTTGACCAAATAATCCAGCAATCACAGTCCTTGGTATTCACCCAAAGGAGCTGAATTGATGTCCACCCGGCACCTGCACACAGATGTTTGTAGCAGCTTTATTCCTAATTGCCAAAACTTGGAGACAATCAAGATGTCCCTCAGGAGGTAAATGGATAAACCAACTGTGGTACGTCCAGAAAACAGAATATTACGCAGTGCTAAAAAGAAATGAGCTATCAAGCTATGAAAAGACATAGAAGAACTTTAAATGCATATTACTAAATGAAAGAAGCCAACCTGAAAATCCTACATGTTGTATGATACGATATGATATACTGGATATGATGTGTATGATATGATATGATACTGGATATGATATGTATGATATATGATATACTGGATATGGTATATAGAGACAGTAAAAAGATTGCCAGAGGTTGGTCGCAGGGAAGGATGAATAGGCAGAACACAGAGGATCTTTTAGGGCAGTGAAACTATACTGTGTGATTCCACAGTAGTGGATACATGTCATTGTACATGTGTCAAAACTCAGAGTGCACATCACCAAGAATGAACCCTACTGTAAAGTATGGACTCCAGGTGATATATACCCAGGTTGGTTTATCAATTATAATACATGTCCCATTCTGGTGTGGGCCACTGATAGTGGGGGAGACTGTAAAGGGGAAGCAGGAATATATGGGAACTCTCTGTCCCTTCCACTCAATTTTGCTATAAACCTAAAATTGCTCTAAAAAATAAAGTCTATTTAAAAGGCAAAAAAGTGAGTAGGAGGTTCCACACTGGCTACCACACATGCTCCTCCTGTAGGTAAGAGAACCCGGCAAAGTCAAGCCCTCTGGATGACACAGGAAGCACTCATGTGAATAAATACAAAGATACTTTTAAAATTATCATAATTATATTTGATGGGTAGGGGAAAGGCAGACAGTGAATGTAAAGCACTGAGCACTGAGGATGGCACTGTAAATTCCCAGGATGTGGAGGCTGTTATTCTTCTTACCCTCTTCCTCTGCTTCGTCCCCCTCCTCCTCCTCATTAGCATTCCAGAAAGGGGGAACGTGTTTAAGGCTCAGAGATAGAAAATCCCACTAGGCTGTTGAGCGTGCACAGAGGGGGTCGTGTCTCTGGGACACAGGAACAGGGGTAGGAGCAGGAAGAGACAGGCCAGGTCCTGCAGAGCCATAATTAGTCCCAAAGAACTTTGGGTTTTATCTCACATGTAAACAGAGATGGTCTTAAGCAAGAATCCCTGAGCTCAGATTTGCACTTCTGAAAGATTGGGGATGGGATTCAGCCTGGTGGCCGCTGCCATCACCTAAGAGAGGAATTATGCTGTCCTGGGCCAAGCAGCAGGAGGAAGAGCAGTGCGAATGGAGACTGAGTCGGCAGGACTGACAGACTTTCTTAGATGGTAGAGGTGAGGTGGGAAGAGAGAGGTTGCTAGGATGGTATCTGGGTTTCTGGTTTTAGCGAACAAGAATGATGGGGACATCAAGGGGTGGCAGGGGTTGGGAGAAGGCAGTGAGGTAGAGAGAAGAGAGCAAAGACAATGAGAGTTCTCTGTCCCCAAGCACTTCCTGGACGGCCCCACCGATGATCGCGGAGGCAGCATTTAGGGGGCACGAGACACGGCCCTGCCACTCTGCTGAGCCTTCTGCCTGCACTGTCTCATTTAATCCTCCTAACAACCTCATGAAATAGACATTGTCATTATCCTTATTTTACAGATAAGGAAACTGAGGCTTACAAACCTGCCTAAAGTCACAAAGTGGTGGAGCAGAGCTCTACCCCCATGTCTCCCTGACTGCAAAGCCCACATCCCTGAAACCAAGACACTCCATGGACCCACTGACTCACCATCACCTCCAGCCTTTCACCTCTGTGTGATGTACAAACACGTGGCCTTGTCTCCCTAGCAGAGCCAGGCCCCATCTGGATGCATGGCTTGGTCCCTCAGCTGGGGATCCCTGGCAGGGGGCAGCTGGCACCACTGGACATGGTGTCCCTGTGGCCCATTTGCTAAGCACACTTTCCTTGTTCTCACCTTGGGGCAGGATCAGGCCCATGTGAGGACACCACAAATCCAGGAAGAGATTTCAGCTGCTAGAAGGGCATGTTCTCTTCTGGTTGAATGACACTTCCCAGAGGAGGGGCCCTTTTCTGCACCTGCTGCTACCTCCCGTCTGGACAGGGTGCACGGCCCCAGGAACTAAATAAGCCACCGTGTCAAGGTGGGGTTTTCATTAAGAAAAAGGAAAAGTAGAATTAGGGGTGAACACTGGACCAGGAGGAAATAAAAGATGGATGTATACTTGGTACACTGGTCATGAAAACCATTGGGACTGTGAAATTTGCTTTCCTCAGCAATGTGGAGCAATGAAAATTGCTACAGTTAATTAATGGCTGTGACTTTTAGCACAGCAGTTTGTAAATGCCAGTCCTCGGGCCAAGTAAGTCCATGATGAAGTGTCACTGCAAGATGAAATGGGAAAAGTAATGGCAATGCAATGTGCTTGTGTGTGTGTACATATAATACATATCACTATCACTTTTCCAACCGCCTTTCTTGGGAAAAACTCTCCCTTATTCTAAGACTATTATCTTCTCATCATTAGAGTAGTTTTTACATTCCAAGCAGCAACTCCAAAATTCTAGAACAATGACTGCCGTTAGCAAACTTTATTTCATCATTTAACCAACATTCAGTAAATATCTACTCTCCGCCAAGATGTCCCAGAAAACAAGACCAACCAACTCCTGCACTTACAGAGATTACCCAGCAGGAACGGTGGGTGCTGGGGACATCATACGGAACGTGAACCCCGTGTTCTCCTCCACGGGAGCATGTGACAGGTCACCTCTCCTCACTGGGGCATCCGGAAAGGCTTCATGGAGAAAATGGTGCCTAAGCTGAGCCCTATAAAATGAGTAGGGGTTAGCTGGATGAAGTGGCTCTAAGTGGTGGCAGTTTTGAGCAATGGGAGGGAGGTGGTGAGACTCAAGTGTCAGGAGGCTGGCTATGTCACAGGAGCACGCTACTGGTTTACATCTAGATCGTCTACAGCCAAGGAAGGAAAGTTCCCCAGCACAGGGTGAGCCAGAATCAAACCCACAGGCTGTGTTTCCAGAAGACGCTCCTAGCTGCTTGCAGCACAGACACCGAGTGATAGATGTCAGACTGCACACTCTCCGGCTCTGGTGATGAATAATAAGTGTCCAGTGAGTAAGATGCTGTCACTAGCTGGCAAGGCAGGGCAAACAGGTCACTGTTCTGAGCGCTCTACGCTTCATTTTTTTCCTGTGTCTAAAATAAGAGGGTTAGATCATACAAAATACTATAATTAAAATAGATCCCCAGCAGGGATATACTGTAGAGCACAGGGAATTATACCCATTACCTTGTAATAATAGAATATAATCTGCAAAAATACTGAGTCACTATACACCTGAAACTAACACATTATAGTAAATCAACTACACTTCAGTTTAATCAATTAATTAATTAAAATAAAATAAGAGGATTAGATTAAATAAGCTCTAAGTTGTATCTCGGGTAAATATTCCATAATGATAGATGTATAGCAGCTGCCATTTGTTGAGCATTTGCAAACTGAAGTCACGGTGTTAGGTGTTGTACGTATGTTATCAACAACTCTCATCACAGCCCCATGACGTAGGTGTTACAGATGAGAAACTCAGACACAGAGCAAAAGTTCCAAGGTCATGCTCTAGTACATAGCAGATCCAGGATTCAAACCCAGGTCTGTTAGATCCCCAAATCCATGCTCTCTCCATCAGTCTGTACACGGTACCGTGAAGTTTCGTGACGCTTTATGATTTCACTGGTGTTCCTCAGCCTGGCATCCAGAGTCTCTTCTGTGCCACTCTCCCCCTTGGCTCTATCAGACTGGCCTCTGGGCTAGCCCAGTACCACCATCCCCCTGCAGCACTCTGCTCATGCTGTTCATCCTTGATCTCCCCAACACCTCCTCCCTCCCACTGGAATGAAATCAAGCAAGCAACTGGATGATGACCCAGAAACAAAACACACTGAGCAGGGTCATACACTGAACACACACACATGAGAGATGTTATAGGAGAGGATATTTGAGGTCCAACTGGGTCTTCAGAGTAGCCTTAGTAGAGAGAGTGACAGGATAAAGGTCTTGGCAGGAGCTCTTGCAACTGTGACAACTGGACCAAGTACAGCGGGATAGAAGGCACAGAAGTCCAGACATGATGCTGGCCAAGAGTGGCCCAGGAAGTGGCAGTGGAATTCCTGGGGCTGTGGAACTGGGTGGAGTTCCAGAGCAGGCGCTTCAGCCATGAGGAACAAGGCAAGAAACACCACCACAGTGGAGCCCAAGTCGGGGACTTGGCTCCGACGGACAAAGAAGAAGCTCAGTCACTGATGAGGGAGCCTTATGTGAGCTAGACCAGCAACAAAACTCTCCAAATAGGATGAGCACCAGGTGTTGGGACAAATCTGAGTCTGGTACCTTGGACAGGGAACAAGTGAGGTCACTACAAGGATCTTGGCGGCTTTGCTTCTAATCCTCGCCATGACGCCCACCAGCTGGGTACCCTTGAGACGCTTCTGGGAGACAACTCTCCCTGGGCCTCTCCTGAGTTTGCGTGTCTCGTGAGAGGCACTGATTACTGCTTGTTCCAGATTTATCTTTTCAAAGACAATGGTACGAAAAACAGCCTTGGAAGATAGAGTCTCCCTTTGGAACAAAAATCAAGAAGGCTTTCCCCCTATTATAAAAGATTTGGGTTCCCTAAACTCAAGATTCTTTTTCTGAAAAAACAGACTCACAGATAGATGTAGAGAAAGAACTAGCGGTTACCAGTGGGGAGAAGGAAGGGGGAGGGGCAAGATGGAGGTGGAGGATTAAGAGGGACAAACTATCAGGTATAAAATCAGCTGCAAGGATGTACTGTACAACATGGGGAATGTAGCCAATATTTTATAATAACTATAAACTGAGTATAACCTTTAAACCTGTATGAATCACTATACTGTATACCTATAACATATAATATTCAATTTATATTCAATAATATTTCAATTTAAAATATATGATACTATAAAATAAATAAATATAATTTTTTTAAAGATTCTTTTTCTGTAATGAAATCCACATCACGTGCAGGTGTCATCTGGTCCACTTAGCATATTTACTCAACAAATTCTATTCCTCCCTTCAACCTCCTCTCAGAGAGGTGGTACAGGGATCATAAAAAGAACTCATTGCAAATGCTAATATGAGCCATTAAAGTTATTATTCCTAATGCAAATTCTACAACTTTTTCAAATCCCAGCTCATTTTCTTCACCTCCGTGATGACCTTTCCATGTACTCCAGGACAGAGGTTACTCATACAATGTATACACACTGTCAAACATTTTCACACTTACTTCTTGAGTGTTATTTTTCACTCCCAGACTTGATTATTCATGTTGGAGGGTGGGGATGATATCTCCCACCTCTTCTGGATCACGTATCTACACTTAGCTTTAATGATAAGATGCCCAGTAAACACCTGTAAATTGATGAGTCTCATATGTCATCATTCTACCTACCTATTACCAGGAGAAGCTTAAGAAAAGTCAATAGGAAAGAATGTTAATTGTTTTTAATCAGTTTTACTGTCTCTGTGATACAGGCTTTCTAGCCTTGAGAGAGGGCAGGCTGATAAAAACTGTCTGTGGGATGGCAAGCCCATTGAACTTATCTGAAAGGCTCATTCAGTTCATGTGTTCACTGCACATTTGCATCAAATGTATTATTAAGCACAGACTTACGAATTTATAGATGCGAAGCAGAATGCGGTAATTCATAGCAGTTCTTTCAAGCAGCGCATCATGTGGAACAGGCCATCCGCCCACCCACAGGAAACAGGCTGGGTCGAATTTCAGAAGCCGCATCTTTACCCTGTTCCTGGGATCTCTGAGCCACAAAGCATGTCATCTATTCAAAAAAGATGTTAATTAATGGAATTGAGTTCTGAACTATCATGGTCAGCAAGCAATAACTCTTAGGAGTAAAAGCAAGACTAAAGCAACAAAAACCAAAATTAAGCTGATAGTACAAATAGTTATTATGCTACTGTCATCATTATATATGTTCAGGGTATCCAGGCAGTTTATTTTCTCCAAGATACTTGTCCTGCAAGGTGGGCAGAGGTGCCTTGGTCATGACTTCAAACTCTAAGAGCCATGCATCTCAAACACATGGTTTACCAAGTGCTGAAAATGTTATCTCAATGAGTTATGCTAAGATGCTGCACTGTTTCTACAGAGCCACCTGTACAAATCCAAAATTCTACTGTCATTGGGTACAAAAGACCACAAAGTAATATGAATCTATCATTTCACAAATCTGCAAATGAGGATTTGCCCTCCCCAAAAGGGCCCAAATGTGGAAATCTATCAGAGTTAGAATCTGACATGTCCACATTTTCATCACCTGTGAGTAGAAAGAATTGAAGAGGTTACAAAGAGAATCTTCCTGTCTCCTGATCTCCTATGTTCTAGTCTAAAACACGTATCGCCCACCATGTTCTTTAACTTGGATTTAAAAACAAAACACAAAACAAAATCAAAAGACAATATTCTCAGGTAACTTTACAACCTGTGAAATTAAGTGAAACCATGTGTATAGTGTGTCTGATTCATGATAAGCATTCACTGAATGTTAGTTCACTTCTCTCTTTCCTTTTCCCTAAATAAACCGGAAATTAGGGATAAGAATATGCCACCAAACCTAAGAGGGCAGGGACAGAGACAACAGACCACTCATCAAATGTTAACTCCATCCCACCAGCCATGTGTAGGGGAGGGAGCAAGAGGGACCCAGGTATCTGTTGCCACTGGAGATGAGGACACAGGTCTTTGAAAGTCTGTGCAGCAATGAGATCCACCAGATTAATAGATCCTAATCTTTTGGGTAGGTTCAGGTATCCCTAGGCAGGTGACACACAGACTATTCACATGGGCCATCAGGAAATGGAATTTTACCATCTCTTTCTTTCACCAGAGCATGAGGGGTTTGCAATGTGAAGACTAGTGAATGGACTGAAAGGCAGCCTTACACAGCTGTGCCTGTGACAAATTACTCACTATGCTGCAAGGTAGCAAAATGTGCCACACAAAAATGTGCCTCGTTGGCCTGAGGACTAATTTAGGCTGATTATTTTTAGGAAACCGAAGACTTGGGAACATTGACCTTCCCCTTAACTGCCTAAGAGAATTTAGATAGAGGGCTTGTTTCTGGAGGAGAGCTATTACCAGAGGTATCTGCAAAGACTGTGGGATTAGGTATTTATCAACTATACTTCAATAAAAAGAAATAAAAAATAAAAATAATTTAAATAATTTTAAAAAAGAATATGGGCTAGGTGTGGCAGGGAAAACTTAGCAGGACCTGAGATCAGAGTTCACTCTGTGTCCCACTGTCTCTGCAAAGCCCAGCGAGCATTCATTTACCAAACATTTGTTTTTCTAATTCCATGTGAATTGCTTCTCTCCCCTTGGAAATCCCAAACCACTACCTCCAACGTTCTCTTTTGTCTTCAGCTGGAGATGGTGTTTAAGGAGAGGGCTTCAGCTAACATTTTGGTGAGTTACTCAGTTTTCCTGGGTCTCTCCCATGGACACATGTATTCGACTTTTGTTTCATTTTCTCCTGTTTATCTGTTTCATGTCAATTTCATTCTCAGCCCAACCAGAAGAGCCTAGAAGGGTAAAGAAAAATTTCTTCTCCTCAACAATGCAGCCACTCCCATGCAGGCAGCCAGGCCGACCATGTTGCCCAGAGCCAAGACCAGAGCAGATCTCCAGCACATCCTTGACTGAAGAGGACTGCAGAGTTAATTAAAAATCCAAAACAAAGGGATCAATCTCACAAACCAATATATCATTGTTGTTGATGCATAAGAGGTGAAACTCTAACCTTGGGCAAGTCAAAATACTCTCTCTATAAGTTAAGTACAATTGTGTCTGGCAGCAGATATCAGATCAGGTGTAAATAACTGTGAGACCTGGAGATGAAAGCTCCAGTCCTCTTTGCATTTTGTGATGCTATTTTGCAGGAATCTGGTGTTACTGCCTTTTTTCCCTTTTGTTCTGTGCCATCCTCTTCTCTCAAGTGAGGAAACATTGCTGGGAGGAGTGCTCAGAGCCCTTGTCTCTGGTTTGCCAGAAGGCAAGGGAAGAAAGAATGGAGATTCTGGGTTGAGTTTTGGAATGTAAAGATTACTCAGAATAAGCTCTTAAAGCCGAAACCTCAGATAACAATTTTAGATAAGAAGAGCAAAACTTCAGATAGCAATTTTAGGTTCTTGCACCTGCCATACAAATGTCCACATTTTAATGAGTGTTTTTGCTTCTTTTATTCAAGGGCCTTGGAATTCTTTAGGATGAAAGGCCCCAGGAGCCTGAAAGGGATTAATGACAGGCTTTCTGCGTTATTATCCTCCCACAGACACCTGCAATCTGGGGGCAAAGGTGAATCTCCTGCCTGAAGCATGGCTGGATGGGGGGGGGGGGTGCTGCAGTTTTTGTTGCTTCAGAAAAGCTCTCCAGGGGTGACCATCAGCACCAAGAAAAGAGGGGAAGGAGTGATAACACTCGTAACAACAACAGCACGAGTGAGATGTCACGAGGCGCCGTCCTCAGCACCTTGAATTTCAGCCTGACAGCAGTAGTATGCATTTCCATTTTCCAGGTGAGGAAACTGAGGCACAGAGAGATTAAGTAACTTGCTCAAGCTTAAACATCTTATAAACACCAGAAACTGACATTGTACATCAAAAAATTTAAAAATCACAATTAAAAAAACTTATAAGTCAGACAAGACAGGATTTGAATCCAAGTGGTCTGAGTCTGGTAACTAAGCCCTTGACAGAAAGTCAGTCAAAGCTTTTTCATCCTGTCCATTTCGTAAAAGACTTGACCGGCTCAGGTGGGCTTGGAGCCCCCATATCCTGCCCTTGCTCCTCCTTCTGTACCTCTGGTCTCATCACTGATGCATGCCTACCCACTGTGTCCAAGAAAGCCATTGAAGGACGCTCAAGGACGCAACAGGGTACCCGCTGAGCGTCCAATCCTCGGGTCTGTCTAAGAAGCTGCCGCGTCAGGCCAGGTTGAGCGGCCTAACAGCTACAGGCGGGAGAGTGGAGGGCTGCCTGCAAATACAAAGTAGAGCTCTTTCCGCAGAGCAGCCCGGGAGCCGGAAGACCAGGCAACCGACACCAAATGAGGAATTGCTGAAGGAACTAGAGAGACTTAGCCTGGGGAAGAAAAGACTCAGAAGGCAGGAGCACTATCCTCCAATATCAGATCCGTTCTTTTGGGAAAAAGGATGCAGTCCTGCTGGAAAGTCCCAGTGCCGAGAATCCACACAAAGACAAGGAAGCTCATTTCAGCTAGAGCTGTCCAGAGACCAACGCTCACTGGAACCAAGAGCGTCCCTATGGGGCCCTCCCAGGTTCAAAAGTCTCTCCATGTCCCTTTTCTTATTTGCAGAGAAAAGGCTTCAGCCTCCTAGACCTTCCCTGAGTTCCAAAGGGCAGATTCAAACAGTTACTAATCTGGGAAGGGAGGGGATGCAGAAACAAGGGAGGAACAGTCAAGACACAATAGTGCAGGGATGGGGCAGGGTCCAGTTTCATCCCCATGGGACGTACATAACAATACCTTAAAGTTCTTCTACAAGAACTAAGGCCCCCACCCAGGTGGAGGATGATAACTTCAGGCTGAGCACAAGATTCCTGGAACACCATCCTATTACCTCACCACTAACCAATCAGAAGAAAGTCACACATCCTGCAGCCCTCATCCCCAATTTTGCCTATAAAAACTGTTCTGTGAAAACCATCAGGGAGTTTGGAGCTTTTTAGAGCATGAGCTGCCTCTCCTCCTTGCTTGGCCCTGCAATAAACTTTTCTCTGCCCCAAACTCTGATGCTTCAGTTTGGCCTCCTGATGTGTTAGACATACGAACTTGTTCTGGTAACACTTAAAAGTCTCCAAAAGAGTCACGGTTTCAGTCTGAATGACTGGTCACCAAAAGGAGGGAACACAGCCCCTTGGCTCCCGGATAACTCGGGTAGGTTTCAAAACATTTCCAAGCATGTAACTTTTAAATTTACACATCCCAGATTTTTGTAGATAATCCTATGATCGATCTGTAACTACAAGGATTACACTTTGTTTCAACATTTCCATCACTTCCACTATGGTAATTGAGCCTGTGCCTTCACGGGCTTCTCCGCCTTCCTCTATTTGTGAGCTCCCTGCCAGCAGAGGAAACAACCCAGGAATGTTGTGTTGAATGGAAAAGGCAGGAAAGCACTGTTTGACTTGGAATCCAATGACATGTGGCCCGCAGGCGGAGGACACACCGGGCTTACTGAACAGGGTGTTCTTTTGGGGTCTAGGGAACTCGGTGAAAGAATCTAAGTTCGCAACAAATGAGAGGAAAGAGAAGGGAAGAGCAGGGACTAGTGTGGTGTCCATACATGTATGATGGAAAACAGTTTTCTAGAGGCAATCATCTTGCTGCAGTGTGGTTTGTTTTGCTTTATGCTTTTTTTTTAAGAAAATACATCACAAGCCTAGGGACTAAGATAGTAATTTTTAACTACAGTTTATAGGG